CGAACGTTAACTTCAACAATACCCTGTGACTGCAGATCAATTACTCACTACCTACACACATAACCCCTGTCACGTTGTGACCATCTTATATATACCAGACTACCCTATATCCAGTAATCTCCCGACAATTCACGAAGGTTCGAGAGAAGTGGCGTGACACTAGCCACGTGACCTCGCTGACGCAACAACTCTAAGTGAAGCCTAACTAGTGGTTTGTATAAAAAGGTAATTACCTCTTTTGACTGAGTTATTCTCCTCATTTGGCTTGCCAACTAAAGATTTTGTTTGTTTTTTCTGTACGTACATAAACGCTATTTTAACAGGAAGACTTTCATGACACATACACAAATATAGAAATTACTGTCACATTACACAAATCAACACATTTTAACATAGTCTTTATTTTACAAAATGACTTCCTTTTCTACGTATGTACATATCAATACACTGGTAAACCTCACAACGTCCAGTAGTACAACAAACTTCCTGCTACAGAGTGGAAACTTGGAAGAAAAGGGGTCAGTTTCTCTTTCTTTAATTCAAGAGTCAACACACTAGAATACTTGCATAGATCAGGAATATTACTGTGGCAATAAACACTTCATCTTAGATTATACTACATTGGTATTACATCAGGAATATAACTGTGGCAATAAACACTTCATCTTAGATTTTACTGCAAGGTATTAGATCAGGAATATAACTGTGGAATTAAACACTTCATCTTAGATTTTACTGCAAGGTATTAGATCAGAAATGTAACTGTGGAATTAAACACTTCATCTTAGATTTTACTGCAAGGTATTAGATCAGAAATGTAACTGTGGAATTAAACACTTCATCTTAGATTTTACTGCAAGGTATTAGATCAGAAATGTAACTGTGGAATTAAACACTTCATCTTAGATTTTACTGCAAGGTATTAGATCAGGAATATTACTGTGGCAATAAACACTTCATCTTAGATTATACTACATGGTATTACATCAGGAATATAACAGTGGCAATAAACACTTCATCTTAGATTATACTACATGGTATTACATCAGGAATATAACTGTGGCAATAAACACTTCATCTTAGATTTTACTGCAAGGTATTACATCAGGAATATAACTGTGGAATTAAACACTTCATCTTAGATTTTACTGCAAGGTATTACATCAGGAATATAACTGGAATTAAACACTTCATCTTAAATTTTACTGCAAGGTATTAGATCAGGAATATAACTGTGGCATTAAACACTTCATCTTAGATTGAATTACATGGTATTAGATCAGGAATATAACTGTGGAATTAAACACTTCATCTTAGATTTTACTGCAAGGTATTAGATCAGGAATATAACTGTGGCATTAAACACTTCATGTTAGATTTTACTGCAAGGTATTACATCAAGAATATTACTGTGGCATTAAACACTTCATGTTAGATTTTGCTTCAAAACTTTAAATCAAGAATATTACTGTGGCATTAAACACTTCATGTTAGACTTTACTGCAAGGTATTACATCAAGAATATTACTGTGGTATTAAACACTTCATGTTAGATTTTACTGCAAGGTATTACATCAAGGATATAACTGTGGCAATAAACACTTAATCTTAGATTTTACTGCAAGGTATTACATCAAGAATATAACTGTGGTATTAAACACTTCATGTTAGATTTTACTGCAAGGTATTACATCAAGAATATAACTGGCAATAAACACTTCATCTTAGATTTTGCTTCAAAACTTTAGATCAAGAATATTACTGTGGCAGAATTTCATCCTAAAAAACTGTTGATGGAAGATACAGAGTGTTAAAACTTTTTATTAATTTAGAATCTAGTGTTGAATTACACATTCAACATATTACATATTAATAGTAATAATTACTTTATATTACTTTATTTTGGACAGGAGTTTCTTTTTCTTCCTCAGTACTCTTGGAACCCAATGAAAGAAACATCATAAGATACTGTTAGGCCTATTGGTTCCCATTTGGAATACAAAGCATTGAACATCAATCCTTCAATAAAAAAAAAAAATATTGTTCTTTACAGCCTCTCGTGAAGAAGCTGCAGAGGCAAAATATTGACCAATAAAGTATTTTTTTGTTGTTGCTAAAGGATTTTTAGGTAGATACTTCAGCCAACATTCTGACTATTTTAGCATAAAAATCACAATGTATAATCAACTTTAAGAAATAGTATTTTTAATGCTGGTTTTGTATATAAGTCAAACAAGTGCAGGTATTGCAACACAATTTTTGTTTTATGAAAATGTTAATTGTATTCCAGTGGCTACAGCAACAGAAGTTTGTAACTGTAGCAACCTTGGAAACTGATTTTATCTACTGAATACAGAGGTATTTGTAAAAACTTGTATGAACAATAGTAACTGGTGTTACAATAATAACATATGATGACAAAAAACTGAAACCCAACAACACATCGTTATGATATCTTAGATATATTTTTTCTTTCTATCCACACGTCATCATTGTCAAAGTTTAAGCAGACTATATTTGTGTTAACACATATTTTGGCACTTCCCAGAAGATACTTTAAAGAACAATTTTAACAAAATTTACAATTATATCAATTCTTCAGTTACCAGATTTATATTCTGTGGCCATGCTAAAACAATTAAATATCAGAACAGGACAACTTGAAGCATCTATTTATAATTATAATAATCGGGCTAATACCTACAGTTTTACAAATGAGTTCATTAAAAAATGAGATATATTTGCCATTATTTTCTGGTTGGCCAGTATATGCTAATCCTTCTTGATATTTTACCACCTTACACTCATTAATATATTAAATGAAAAATGTTCAGAATACCAACAAAAATCTTCAATTTATATTTCATATATGTTACAATCATAAATAGTAATAACTAATTACCAAGCTGTATGAGCTAAAACTGAGGATAATTATAGATATACATGAACTACATTAAATTTAATCACAATATAGTTAATAAATGTATTATCACTCAACAATCTTAGCTCTAACTCTAGAATTTATTTACTTCCTTTGAATATGTACGTATATCTCAAACTTCTTTCTCAGTAGGAAGTCATGAAAAATGATATTCTTGAAAGTGACAAAAAAAAGATCTAGTGTAATGGCACTTAATAAGAGACAGAGTTACTAAACCATTAAAGGCCTCAGATGTGCATATTGTACAGCTTTTACAATTAAAACTAAAATAGTGGTGACATCAAATATCAGTTAAACAAAAAAAAAAACGTACTATACAAGACTGAATCCACAATTTCAGTAACATTACCTGAAATAACGAATATAATTTCGTCAGGTAACGTAAAATTAATCTCCTTTTTAAGAATAAATAAGAAGTAAGCACTCTCTCTTATTCCAAAATCGATATGTGTAATCACGACATCAAAACAAGATGGTGATCAATTGATGCCTTAATTCGCAGTATCTAGTATCGATAATCTCTTAATGATATGCAAGTATTCCTCTGTACAAGTCAAAAGCTTGTCTGTCCTTTCCAATTAAATCTCTACGTTTGTCTTGGAAATTAGCATTAGACTTGAGCGCTATTTCATATTACATCTTGTATTCATGTTATTGCAAAACACTTAATTTGGCACATCATAACTTATCTTCATTAGAATTATTATCTAAAACCTTTTTATTGTTTTCTCCCAGTTTATAAAAGGAAACCAAGTCCTTTCTTTTCAGTTTCTTACTTCGGAGTAACTTAAATAAAATCTCTCAACAATTTATTACCAATTTCCCTTTTTTTTTTAATTTTCAAACAAGTGTGTGTGTGCCACTTTGGTGCATTCATACCTCATTACTTGGTTATTGAGTGGTTCTGTAACAGCTGCTTAAGCAGAGAGAGTTGCTTCTTGAAGAGGTTACCCATAATGCAGTGTGGCAGTCTTCCAGCAAGTGCTTGTGTGCTCTTATTACTGTAGTAATTTAGGATGACACTTGAAATAGTGTAGATTCCTGGGCATCATCCTATATCTTCTTATTTTACAGTTTGGTTAAATGTATCGTTTTTCATATTCACATGACTGGTGTCTAAAGCAAAAAATAATCATTATGAGTTTTTCACACATTTGCACTTGAAAATGAAGATACAGTTTGTCAAGTTCTTCTTTGGGTTATTCACATGTGTCTTTGTCTCAAGGTTTAGCATAACTTGAAGAATACTTCTGATGTTATGTTTACATGTATGTTTGTTTCAGGACCTAAAGATTTATCATAACTTGGAGAATACTTCTAATATAATGTCCCATGGATGTTTGTCTCAGGGCCTGAAACTTTATTAGCATAACTTGGAGAATACTTGTGATATTAAGTTCACATATATGTTTGTCCCAGGGCCTAAAGGTTTAGTATAAATTGGAGAATACTTATGATATTATGTTCACATGGATGTTTGTCTCAGGGCCTAAAGGTTTAGTATAAATTGGAGAATACTTGTGATGTTATGTTTATATGGATGTTTGTCTCAGGGCCTGAAGGTTTAGTATAAATTGTAGAATACTTCTGATATTATGTTCACACGGATGTTTGTCTCAGGGCCTAAAGGTTTAGTATAAATTGTAGAATACTTGTGATATTATGTTCACATACATGTTTGTCTCAGGGCCTAAAGGTTTAGCTTTGAAGAATACTTTTATTCACAGTTATTCCTCCTGGGAAAAAATTCACTTTTTGAACCAAAACATAGAAAATAAAATAAACTCATGCCTCAAAATTGGAAGGCAGTGAGTTACCAATGTATTCCACTAGTAAGTACTAAGTGTTTATGTATTCTTTTCACACTCTTGAATTATCTCTTTTGGTTTACCTTTTTATTAATATGAACTACTCTTAAGCTTTTAATAAATTATATGCACCAGAGGTACAGCAGTGCCTCGCTGTAGGAAGCAATTTTGGAGTGGTCAGGCCATGGCCAGACTGCTTCCTATGGCCCTGGCTCAAAGATCAAATTGGGAGTATGTGGCTTAAAAATGTTAATAACCATATAATAATAACTCCATATTATAGGTTATATTTATGATATTTAAATACGTAGGAGTATGCTATGATTATTAAACAGTGACCTAACAAACCTAACAACTTTACGTATTTAATATCATCAGAAAGGTTCCATTCCAAAAATGTTACCCACAATAGTTGAGTAACTTTTTTGTGTGTAAGTTTTGTGTTTTACTTCTTAACTTTAAAATAATACATATCAAATACATAGTCAGGTATAATCTTTAACTAGATATGTATAACTAAAAATAATGTAACTGAATATCTATTGAATAAAAAGTGCCATTGTATAATAATTAACATCTGATTACTGATATCACTTATTTTAAGTTTTATCAGATGGCTTTTGAAAGTGAGAAATATTAAACAAAAGGAAAAGCTTCATTTGTACTTAACATTATTGACTTTTTTCTTTAACTTTAGAGTACATATTTGTCTTTAATCATCCCAAAGAGAACTGTTAATGCACTTTTATTTATTCATTGAAAACTAAATTGAATGTTGTCTATTGTGGAGTAAGAGAGAAAAAATTATTTACTGTTGCTTTTCTTATTCTACTTGATATAAAACAGTATCTTACTTTTTTTCTAAATATGTGTATTGAAGTTTATTTATAAAAAAGAAGTAAGATATACCAGAAAGAAATTACTGTGATATTTGCTAAAGATATGGTACAGTAAAAGTATTTTTTATTAGATACTTAGTATTCTATTGTCCAAAACTGTTACAGTTCTTTACTTTACCTCCTCTCACGTGTATAGCTATTCTCATTCAGTGCTGCCCTCTATATGCAAAATACTTTTGCATGCCACAAATCTTGAACTCCCACAATCAGTGTGGTTCAACTGCATCTCGCAAGTAAATCATCATGCTGCAACCCTTCACCAATATCAGTGCGATACACCCTCCTGATACATGTGACTCCCTTTCTTCGATTCTTCAGAACTATCAGTTTTTGTTAGGCAGTGATCTAGTGCAGACATTTTTCAATAGAGCTCTCTTCAGGTTGTTTCTTTAAATTTTCTGTGAAATAGTGATTTCATTTAACTATTTTGCCTACGGTTGTTTTCTGTAGTTTTTGATGTGATAACTTATCTTTGTTTGTTCCACCTACTTCCAATACACTTACACAAGCTTCAAATAAGGGGACCTCAACTAAGGAATTTTTGGATATAATTCGTTGGGAGATTGACCATCATGTGAGCCGATGTTCTTCTCCTGATATTGCTGGACTTCCTTGTAAATCTGCCAAACCTGTTCATGACAAGGAGGATTTTGACAGCCTTTTTCTTCCACCGAACTATGCCGTATCTTTCCAAGACTCTCCAACAGAATCTGGTAGGCCAAACTCAGCCTTTTTAGATATGATTTCTCAGGTGTGTTCCATTTTATCCATTTCCCTGATTTCTTATTATCCTGTTCCTTTCTTATTAAATGACACCCCTTCATCAGAGTATTTTGTTTTCCCTCCTTCTCCTGGCATCAGGGTTCATGCTGAACATTTCATTTCTCAGTTGAGAGTGGGTGCTAGCATGCCTCACCCTCCACGGGTCTCGGATCATTATTCCTTGGCTTATTATCAGGCTGATCATATGTGGTTTCTTTGCTGTTGGGGTCTTATTGGAAGGGATGCTGTTTTGTCACAGGTTCATCTACTGTCCACTTATCTTAGGGACTTATGAATGGTTCCTTTTCTCCATTGGTGTGTTTTTGGAGATATTCCTGAGTCTTTGGAATCACGTGTGGAATTTATAAGACAATATTCGACCTTTTCATCTTTGATTGCTTGTTTATCTCATACTGAGCTCATACTTTCTCCTCTTCCTGTTTCCCATCCTGCACCCTCCTATGATTTACTTGTTCCTACCTCTAGGGGTTCAACTATTTGTCATGTTTCTCGACATAGGTTTCATCATAGCCAATAGTATTGGTGACTATCCAGTGGGGGCACATTTGGCTGATGACTCCCCCCCTCCCTATAGTGGGAATTCACTACCAATCCTTGGGTGATCCAGGTTTTGTCAGAAAGGCTTTTCATCCATTTCCTTTCCCCACTACCATTTTCTCCTGTACCTATATCCTTCTCATTACCTCAGGATTCTAATACCAGTCAGCATCTATTGAAGGCAGTGTTGACTCTTCTCTCACAGAGAGGTATTGAGCCTATCAGCCAACCTTCCTTAGGTTTTTTACTCCAGGCTTTTTGTGGTCTCCAAGAAAACTGGGGACTGGTGTCCTGTGATCGATCTGTCCTGCTTCAATCACTTTTTGGATTTTCCCTGTGTTACAATGAAGTCTTTCTCCAGGACCGTGGATGACCAAGGTAGACGTCTCGAATGCTTATTTCCATATTTCTGTTTCTCATTGGTCCAGATTTTATCTTCTTGTCTCCTTCAGTTCCAAACTACCCCTCCATTATCTCTTCCTCTTATGCCATCCCTACTATGTTAACCTCAGTCACCAGTCCTTCATCCCACCCTTCCTACCATCCATCCACATGCCTGGCGATTATCAGGTCCCTGGCAAGGAGATCTGAACTATCTAGGTGTGTCACTTTCTTTTTAGCACTGTCCATTCACCCTTCCTCTATTGAGGTTTATCCACGTAAATGGAATGTCTTTCACCATTGATCATTGATTCAGGGCTTTTCCCTTTTTGGCCCACTGTTTTTCTTCTTACAGATTTTCTCACATGGCTGTTCGATCATGGGCATTCTGTCTCTTCCATAGCTGGTTATTGAGCAGCCTTATCCCATACCTTCTGTTTTTCCCGGTATCGTTTGGTGTTTCCCTCTCTCTTTTGTTGCATTCCTTCTGGATTTGTAGGCCTCCTTGTTGGGTAGTCCTTCTGGATTGGAATATTAATACTATTCTTCACTTCTTTACTCAACCTCATTTTGAACCTTTGTCCTTATGTTCCTTGTTTCACTTATCCCTTAAGACTTATTCCTACTCCTTTTAGCCTGTGGGCATCGTCAGTTTGATATATTTGCCATAGACGTTTTACATACACTGTACCATTCCACATATGTTCTCTTTTACCTGGATTGGTCTTTCCTCCCCAAAACCTCGGCAGCTCATGAGGAACATTCTTCCTTCTCACCAATTTCACTTCCATCCACATCCCACTTTTATTCTTGGTCGGATCCGGGTATGTCCTGTACATTCTCTTCATTGTTACATGGCCCGTATGGCTTTCTTCTGTGGTTCCATTTCCCACCTTTTCATCTTCTGGCAACAATGCTCTTTCCTAAACATACATACCTCCACTGACATTTATAGCTATTTCTTGATCTTCATCTTTGCTAGCTAAACATCGTGTTCGCTTGCTCCAGTCATTGTACCCCACATGACTGCCCTCGGCAATATCTAATCTGCAAAACTTTACACCATACCTCACACGCCCTCTATGCAGGTACTGTATATAAGCACTGTATGTCAACAATATAATCACCTTTTCTCGACAAAGCACTAGCGCTAGGAGTTATGTTTTGTGGTTAACATTTTTTTGAAGCATCTTGACAGTAGTCTAGTGCATGTGTGTTTTTTTCCATTGCCGATATTTCGTTGTTTTTATTTGCGGTTTAAAAAATGTGGGTATGAATTCCTGTGTAACGGTTTTTGGCACGGGGGTTAACCAGACCTCATCCATTCTTCCATTCTTGTCTTGTGGTACTCGGCGGTCGGGGGCTTATACTCGGTGGAGGCTGTCCGTGACCTGATTCGGAATGAGTTGGAATCCTTCATGCGGCCTGGGGTTTTCCCCGGAGGTTCAGAGTAGGCTTTTCATTATGAACCTGAATATACTGAGGAGAATTTAGACACTATTTTCTGCTCCTTCTTTCACTAGAGCTGCCTCTACTGTGAGCTCACCTGATCGGCCATCTTCTGCCTCTTTTCTGCAGTTAGTTACGCGAGTTTGTGAAGCTTCGGGGATTCACCCCATTGCTTTTGAATCTACCTTGCCTTGTTGTCAGATAGATCTCGGGGGGATTACTTAGTTCTTCCTCCTTCCCCTGATATTGCCGTATATACTGGGATGTTTACAATACAATTAAGAGAAAGTAGTGCTATGCCTTGCTCCCCTCATTTATCAAAACAACATGCCCTGGCTTATCATCGTCTGGCTGTAGTATATTTGGACACTCAACAATTGGATTTGTTTTTGTATCAGTGAGGTTCCAGGTCAGAACCTGTTATCTCTCTTATCAGATCTCCATTTTCACGGATTCATTTCACTCTTACTGCTATATTGTGATACTCCTCTTTGTGATTTCTGGGAGTTGCCCCTTTTTCGGCCTCACTGGTTTGCTAGAGTCCCTGAAACTTTCATAGCCCGATTTTATATGGTACGTTTGCAGTTTTCTTTATCATAATTGGCTGATCGCCTCTCTTCTACTACAATGGGTAATTCTGGAGGATCGATCATTTGTGTCTCAGAGCCCCACCTTTGACACCTCATCATATTGGTTTACAGAATTGGTTCTGTCCATATTCTCGGGATGGCGCTAGTGGCGTTGGTGTCTAGCGATTCAGAAGGTCAATCTCGTTCATCCAGGATTCTATTCTCGTCTTCTTCTGGTAACCAAGAACACTAGAGATTGGTGTCTTGTCATCAATCTGTCTCGACTCAATCTCTTCCTACAGCCTCCTCGTTTCACCATGGAATCTTTTCTTCAACTTCAATGGCACTTTACACCTGATCTTTGGATGACCAAGTTTGATGTTACAGACACCTCCCTTCACATCCCCATAGCAGAGTCTTTTTGTCAATTTCTACATTTTTTGCACGAGAACCAGATGTAGCAGTTCCAAGCTCTCCCGTTTGGACTTGCTTCAGCACCATATGTTTTCTGCTGAGTAGTACAGCCTTTGAGCATCGTCTTAATTTTCTGGGGCTGTGCACACATCGCTATTTAGAAGATTGACTTCTTTTGGCACCAACCTGTCATATTGCCACACTACATCCACAGATTTTCCTTTCTGATGCCAGAAGGGCAGACTTCATATAAGGTTGGAAAAGTCCATTCTCTCACCAACTCCATACGTGGTCCATCTTGGGGTGTTTTTCAATGCACTTTGAGTCGAGCTCAACCTTCTCCCCTCAGACTTCATGTTAGGGTAGGGGTTGTCAGGCATTTGCTTATGTCACCTTCTCCCACAGCATGGATGGTTCTTTCTGTTTTGGGATTTGGGCTTCCCTAGAATCCCTCAACAGGCCCATATGAGATCCCTTCAGTGGTCATTTTGTGGTCAATGGCTCATGCATACTGATCCTTCAGATCACGCATTCTCTTTGCTCAAACAATTTGCATATCTCAAGTGGTGGCAAGACAGGAACAACATGAATATCATTGTCTTGATGCCACCTCCTCATGTGGAAATCCATCTTTTCATGAATGGGGTGCCCTTCTTCTGGGGTAGGCATTTCAGGGTATTTGGACTGACTATGAATCTACCCTGCATATCAATTACATTACATTACATCTCATGATGATTCCAGGTCTTTTTCTCTTGCCCGACAAAATGGTCAGGATACATTCTGACTTCTCCTCAGTGGTTTCATATCTTTCTCATCAGGGAAGTTCTCATTCTTTTCGGGCTTTGGATCTTCTTTTTCGGCTCATTCCAATGATATCCATCTTGTGGCCTGTCATATGCCAGGGTTATGATTTTGATAGCAGATCACCTTGCTCCTTCTACCCTTACCAATTAAGTTTGGCAATTAATTCAATTGACATATTCTTCCAGGATTTTTCATGGTCACCCATTGCACTGTTTCTAGTGTCAGTGTTCCTCCAGACTTTCCACTGCATTTTATACCCCCTTGTTCTACTAGTGGAGTATGGGAGTCCTTGCCACTTTCTAGTTCCAAGCCCCTGGGATGGTGGACCATGGAGGAGTCCTCCTGAATGTGATTACTTCCTTTCAGTTGAGAGTAGGGTGGTGGTGTTCTGCTGGTGTAGATGATGTTCAATCCTCCATTCAGGTGCTCCACCTCTGTGCAGTGGATCCTGGAGGTTGATGTTGTGCCCAGCTTCTGTGTGGTTCTATCCGGAGGGTGAGGTTGCAATCCATTTCCATCTAGTGGGACCCGGAGGATGCAATGGTGCTCCTATTTTTGTGAGTTCCTTTCCGGAGGATGATGTTGCTTTGGAGTAGATCTGTCACATTGCAGTTCGCCCATTTGATTGGAATCCCTCATCCTACCATCATATGGTTGTCGGCACCCAGTCAGTGGTTTTGGATTAGGCTTGGACCAATCAATATAAATCCTCATAAATGTGTTTCCTCTTCCTCACTCAATTTGCCTCATGATCTCCACCTCTGTACAGTGCCACCCACAGGTTGATGGTGCACTCAGCATCTGTGTTTCTAACCAGATGGTGCGGTTGCTATATATTTCTAGAGGTGATCCACTTCTTGCAGTGAGACCCAGAGGATGGTGTTGCATTCTAGCTTCTGTGCAGTCCTGTCTGGAGGATAATATTGACTGGGGTGATGGTTCTCCCTATCATGTTCCACCTCAGAGTGTTTTCTCTTCCTAAGGCTGATGTTGTGCAGGGGAGTGCCAGTCTAATAGGGTTTGCACTTGATGTGACCTGCCACATTGGTACATTTCTTCCTACTGTCAATCGGATGTCAGGTTACTCGATATATGGTTGGTTGTGGATTTGCACACATGCCAATTTTGTAAATCAGATTGCACAGTGTATATTTCCATTCTTGAGGTGAAGACAGCGTGGACCCTCCTCTTACCATAAGTCAGAGGTTCTATTCCAAACACTGCTTGGTTTTGGACTGGAGTTTACCATCTGCATATGATCTGTTGTGCCCTAGCCACTCTACACCTTAGAGCACATCCATTTTAGCTTTCCCTACATTCCTAACTGTAAATGGTTCTTCTAAAGCCTTTCTTCTGGGGAATTGAGATTCTGGTATACTGTGGTTCAGATTCTGACCCACCTGGTTTTCTCTCCCTTTTTTTGGTTGTGCTCCTCCCACTTTCAGCCTGTGTATGGGACACCTCCTTTCCAAATAGGGATCATACTTCAGAGATGTTCTTTGGATGAGTTCGAAGTATACTTCTTTCTATCCCTTGCACTGGTCCCTCTGCCTGTTTAATGTTGAATCGTACCTATACATGTGATCAGAGGTAATGTTCCATATTGGAAGTTATTATTTTATGCTGAAAATATATTTCCAATAAGTACTTATCTCATCTTCCACTTCCCACCCATTTTCCCCACTGAAAACTGATGCTTCCTTTTCTGCCTAATCTCGAAGTGATAGTTTGTTAGAATCAAATAGTCACATGCATCAGGAGGGTGTGTCACACTCCTATTGGTGGAGGGTTGTCGCAGTTGAACCACATTGATCAGGGATATGTAGGAGTTCAAGGTTTGTAACATGCAAAAACGTTTGTGCATATAGAGGACAGGAATGAACAAGAATAGCTATACATGTGACAGGAAGTAAATACCTATTGAAATATATTTTCAGAAAAGGAAAATAATAACTTCTTACCAGCAATTTAATGGTTAGGTTAGGTTCTATAATTTAAACATGTTTTTTACAAAATCTTGAAACTGAAATTAAGATTATAATAAATACTCACTCTTCTATTTTCTAAACTTGTTACTTGTCTACTGTTGTCAGCATCATGTTCAGATGAGCCAGACTTTGGCAGAAGCGGTGCCATGTGGAGCTGTACTTCATTCAGTGTAAGCCCTTGCTCTCGTCGTCGGCGACCTGAGGAGTTGGAACCTTGGCTCGAGCATGATGGAAATTTGGGCTTATTATAGCTTGGTAGAGTATCTGTTACTGAATATCACAAGAATAAAGTAAACCAATATCACTATTTAAAGTTGTATGTACTGTAATGATAATGAAATACTTCATGATAACAACATTTCAGTAGAAGAAAATGTAAAGGTGACCTCTACGAGTAATGAGACTTTAGAAAAGGTATAGAAGAAGTCCTAACGAAATAACACAATATATAAAAACATAAAATACATGGGTCAGTTCCTTCAGTCCCTTAATTTTCACATGCAAGTTAAACACTTTTGTACATAATATGATATCTGAAATTTTAAAACTGAGGTAGTGTAATGCATTTAGATGGTGTTTAAAATCTCCCTGTAACTAGTGTTTATTTTTTTAAAGATAAAAAATGCTTAAATATTTTTTTTATATTACACCAAAATACATCACAACATACAATTTTCAACTTGCACAGACTCGTGACCACTAGTAGGTGGCCATCCACTGGGAAGCAAAGGAGCTTCATAAGATCCTGTTTGGTCTGATGCACTTGAGGGAGTATTAACGGAGCTCTGGGGTCCTGAAGAGAACAAAGATTTATTTTGATAAAAGCTTTTTATTACAGTGAAGGACAATTAAAATTATTGTGAAGAGGACTTGTATTAAGATACATTTTCAGCCTTTGAAATCAGTGTTGACTAAGTAATATTTTACAACTCGGTGAGATACTCATTAAGTTTATTTTCATTGTTATGCTACTGTGTTAAGCCAGTCAGATATTGCATTGAATGTAACATTCAATTCTTCAGTCATTCACTTTGAAGTTTCTTTTAAAAAATTGGTAGAATCATGGAAGATGGAAAGCAGGCTAAAAAGTGACACCTGGAGAGTTATTTACGAATTTTGATCAAGGATAATATATATACAAAGTTTCATTACTGGTTTTATGGGGCTTATATCTTACCCTCAGAAATTAGCTTTCAGTAAACATGCTACATGAGAATGTTTAATAACTTGTATGGACAATAATAAATGGTGTTACAATAATAACAAACTGAAACAACTCATCAATTTTGTCCATTGAAAATTGAAGTTCAACTTAGATAAAAGGTTTCTTCCATGATGGTACATTTCATGCATAACAAGAGAATTATGTAGTAAAACTTTGTTATGTCATTCTCTGCCACAAGTTATACATTCAAATAAGAATTTTGACTTAATTTAGACTATAATAGACATGTTTCACATCACATTAAATCACAAATTGGAGATATGATTTTTGAATTTTTTTTCAAACTAATAATCTTATTAATAAAACTATAGACTTAGAAACAGCTGTGTGAATTTGGTGAATGAGTGTTGTTGAAAGTGAGCGAGGTAACTGTGAGTACAGCCAACAGCTTACCAGAAAGTCAACAGAAAAAAAACTAAGATAAGAGAAATTGAAATATGCTTTAATATTCATATTTAAATATTTAAGAAATTTTCATAATATAACATTTTATGTTCATAGATTTTATAAAATAGGAACGATATCAACAACCTGTTTTGTTTTTTTTAGAATGTTTCTAACTTACACCATGCATGAACTACTAAAAAGTTACACTGTTGCAGCTGTTTAATGAATTTCTGTTGGTTGCTATGGAGGCTTATACAAAGTTTTATACAAACTAGTGTCAAACTTTCAAGGATTTTTATTTATTTAATTCTAATTCATATTTACATATATGATTATTTTGCATTATTAGCTTAGTGCATGGATTAGGCCTAACCAAAATTTCCTGAGCTTGCAAAACCTTGTGAGATATTATTGGGATTACAGCCAAAAATGTTGCTAACAATGAGGGTACCAAAATGATGAATCAATGCATTTTAATCATTATACGTTTTTGGTTTTATGATTTTGCATAAATTTATTTAAAATGCTATCCAAAACTTGCTATATTATTTACTGGGTCGATTTTTAGCTCCAATCTATTTGGTTAAAAGTTAATAATGATGATTTGCTGAAAAACAAACCTTTCCTAGTGTTGTGAGAGTCTTGCCTTTAGTTGTCATTCAATAATTCTTACTTAGTTGTAATATATGGCATTTTACAACATTAACTGTTTTACTTTGAAACACAGGAGCTTTAAAATCATGTGAATAAAAAAAAGAATGAATTTTTAGCTAATTATGAAATGTGAGGCATGGTTTATGGAACCCAACAAAATTAATTTAGGTAAAACATTCTACATATTTTACAGTAAAAAATTGGATTTCCAGATAAAATTTTATACTTCACTCTAAATATATTAATTTATCAATACCTTCTGATGAATATTTATCATATAAACTTTTGTTTCATGAATATTTACAACTTTGAAATACCTGATCCTGCTCGAATCCCTTGTAGTTTTTTCTTTAACTTGGGATGAGGAGGCCTAGGCTGAATCGCAGTACTTAAATTGCTGTCAGTGCTGTAAGGACTTGAAGGCCTGTAAGGCCGGTGTCTTGGGATATGTTTCTTTTGGGAAGCTGCAAAAAAATATTCCAGAATTATAAATTTAACCAGCAAAATGGTGCTGCTTGTTTTATGATACTCAAAAAAGTTGGGTTTGAAGAAGCATGAATGTGTATCAATAAGTTTTGGTTACACCAAATAGTACACTTTTGTAGTTGTTATATTGGAGGGAAAAAAAATAGATTCTTAAATGTCACTGTGGATAAAGGCACAGAAAGAAAAGGCTTAGTGAAAAAAGTTGTCAGTTTGGGACAAACTAATTCTGTTTTTTAAGATGTCTGTTTTACAATTTTGTTTCTACGATGCTATATTTCAAGTTATATATAAAAGTGTCAAACAAATGCCAGATGTGATAGATGCAGTCACTGTCAGTGAAAGATTTGTGAGGGAAGGTTATTTGTTGTTAAGTTGGTCTTGTAACTTGTACTCAGAGTTTTTAGATCAAACAGTTAAACAGCTGTCCTTTTGCAAACAGAAACCTTAATGTATGTAAGTTTTCAAACATTTGACTTTTCTTTTTCTGACTAATGAAATAAAATTTAAGTACTTGGAAGGAAACATAATGCACAAGATTATTTCATACTTGTAATCTTTAAAATGAGCCTTCATCAATGAATTAGTGGCTAAAATATGAAAGAATTAATTGGAACAACTCATCTCTATATAAAGATGAAACTTATCTAACAGAATGTTTACGTACAAGGGTTGGGGTCTGTGACCAAAGACCCTTCTACTCTATACCCTGCATTCTGGGCTGCTCTTGCTATAGCGCTAGCAAAGTCTGTCTCTGTATAGAAAGATCCATCAGAAGAACTAGCTGCACTAGATCGGGCACTTGTACAGGAGCTATTGCTATGGTCAGTTGTACTAATACATGATGGACAATCGCCTAGGAAGAATAAATGTTAGTTTTGTGGAAACATACCTTAATTATGGAAAAGTTCACAACTTGTTATAAAACAGTTGAAGAAATAAAGAACAATTCCATATTCAACAGAGATTTTAACCTGCTTGATTGATGTACACTGTAAACACAATTACCTGTTTATCCAAGATTGATGTACACTATAAAACTATTAACCTGTTTATCCAAGATTGATGTACACTATAAAACTATTAACCTGTTTATCCAAGATTGATGTACACTGTAAAAACTATTAACCTGTTTATCTGAGATTGATGTACACTATAAAACTATTAACCTGTTTATCCAAGATTGATGTACACTGTAAAAACTATTAACCTGTTTATCTGAGATTGATGTACACTGTAAAAACTATTAACCTGTTTATCTAAGATTGATGTACACTGTAAAAACTATTAACCTGTTTATCTGAGATTGATGTACACTGTAAAAACTATTAACCTGTTTATCCAAGATTAATGTACACTGTAAAAACTATTAACCTGTTTATCTAAGATTGATGTACACTGTAAAAACTATTAACCTGTTTATCCAAGATTGATGTACACTGTAAAACTATTAACCTGTTGTATCCAAGATTGATGTACATAGTAAAAACTATTAACCTGTTTACCCAAGATTGATGTACACTGTAAAAACTATTAACCTGTTTATCCAAGATTGATGTACACTAAAAAACTATTAACCTGTTTATCCAAGATTGATGTACACTGTAAAAACTATTAACCTGTTTATCCAAGATTGATGTGCACTATAAAACTATTAACCTGTTTATCCAAAACTTATGTACACTATAAAACTATCAGTTTAAAAAATCAAGAAAAAGATTACTTGATAGGCTTACATACTTGATGTGCAGTTGATATAAACATCATAAAAAACTACATTTAATGGTACTATGATAAACCATATGTACACTATAAAACTATCAGTTTAAAAAATCAAGAAAAAGATTACTTGATAGGCTTACATACTTGATGTGCAGTTGATATAAACATCATAAAAAACTACATTTAATGGTACTATGATAATGGTACTATGATAATGGTACTATGATAAACCATCAGCATGTATTCTAATTACATTTTGATTACTAAAGAAAGGTGTTCTGCTGCAAAACAAACTGTCTTTACATTTTTTTAAAATAAATATCAAATACTTACTAATCTGAACAATATTTGGTAACTTATAGCTAAATTATATAGAGTATTTGATAATTTGAAGGTTTAAATTAATTGTTTTATATGAATCATTATACCATGGACTGCAGCATAATCAGCATCACTGGACTCTGGTGTGTTTTCTAGTTTAATATCGTATTCATTATTTCTTACTTCAAGTTGTTTGTTCAGTGGATGATAAGGGTTTTCTGTAGAATACAAGAAATGATCATTAGATGATTAAAAAATACATAACTGATGATATAATTATTAGATGATGAAACTTCTTGAATCCTATGAAAAATACAAAATTTTCAGTATAATTAAAGGATGTCAAAGGCTTTCTCACAAAAGGAGAATATGGAAAATGATGGATAAAAGTTTCTGTGGTAATTTTCTGTCTAATAGAGAATACTAATTCCAAGATATATTTTTCTGTAATATCTTGATGTAAAGCTTTTTCTGTAGTATTTTCATTCACGTGAAATATCTTATTGATAAAGTTTATCAGAAATTAAAATTATTCCACAGTATTTGTTTCTCAATAAAGATCAGCAGATCGTTTTTACAGCAGTATATTTTTACTGACTTATTACTTAATATTATGGTTATGATCCAGCTTATTAAAACGTATTACGTAAGTTTAGTTTTTTATATTACCCATGAAAATGTGTTTCATAAATAATAGGGAATAATTATATGATACCAAAAGCATTTTAAACTAATATTTCTACAAGAAAGTTTTTATGTTATCTTTTGAAAATTCTAGTTATACTTGAATCAACAGAAAAGTTTAAACAATTATAATTAGAAATCTCAAATGTAATAGAAAAAACCGAAGATTCTGTATGGGGGCAAAATGTGGTACAAACCTATTAGTGTTACTTGATCATCAGAGTGTGGGTGATCCGTTACTCTGATTGTGGAATGGGGATGGTTGTGAGGTTCACTAGCTAGGGAAGGCAGTGATGACTGTACAGCTCTATCCATTGCCAAGTTATAAAAGTTGAGAGGATGGTTTGGAGAATAATAACCTGTAGACTGGAATGGAAGGGAAATCCCTGGGATTCTGACTCCTGGTCTCACTGGTGGAGTTGGACCCCGATCCAAATTCTCGTTGGAGTTTTGAGAAAGAGTTCCCCTAGGTGAGCCACTACTGTGTCGGCTACTCATAGGAGACGAAAATCCTCTCCCAACATACGGATTTCGTATTACAGGTTGTATTTGACCCTGTAATATTTCATTCTTAATTGAAAACTCATCTAACTGAGATTACTTAGCATATCGCATGTTAGATCTTGTGTTTTGAGTTAAATGTGTCTAAAAACTGAAAAACAAAGCAAAACAATATTGAATAATTTTTCAATAGTTACAGCAAGTTTACCATTGTAGATGAATTTACAACCAAAATTAACATCTGGAAGTAACTATAACCATATTAAAGACATTGCCATACAACTGTAAAAAATATGGAATCTTCATTTTTCAGAAAAAAAAACATAAATACACTTTCTAGCAATATAATTCCAGGTGATTTTTGAAAATGTCTTAAACCTAACTGATCTATATTCGACGTATTTTTATATAAAGTCTGAACATTTCACCAAAAACATGTGGTCAATTTTATACCTATTTCATTTCAAAAAGTCTAACAAAACTGGATAAACTCTAGACCTAATTTAGCCATTGTTTTGTTTTTAAATTACATTTTAAAAGATTGAATGATAAGTGTGTAATTCAAAAATATTGTATTTAAATAAGATTTAATAATTTTCCAGAAATTTTGTCATAGTAATGTGCACAACACTTACCTGTGGCTTAATCACCCTGTTATTAGAAGAAAAACCTTTATGAAGAGAAGGTGTACCAGAGGGTGACCCCCTTTCACTAGGGGGTTGTTCTGGGGGTGGAGGAATTAAATCAGCCCAATTTACGACTGGAGTTTTTTGAATAGGCCTCAGTGGTTTCAACCTCTTCTTAATTGGCATTCCATATTCATCTGTGAAACATAGGTATAAGACAGTACTTTAGGTAAAAGTTGTTTTGACAGTTTAAACTTCATGGGCACAAAGCTGTGAAATGTAAAGAAGTTTCAGGGAGGGAATTGAGATTTCTCTTGATGAGTTCAAGAGGTATTATACATATGTTTAAAGCTTTTGGATATTGCATTACAAGACCTTGTTCATTTAAAACATCATGGGAAATATATTTAGATAGTTCTATTTTTCTTTCATCCTTTCTTTTACGGTCAAAGATTGTACTTCATAAATTGTTTTTAGGTCTTCATCTATTCCTCTAAGACATTTACATTAAAACTGTACCATAAATCACAACTGGATGCACATAGTATTGAGAGAATACAAAAGGAAATATTACTTTCCCATTCTTTTGTTACTGTATAGAATTCCTAAACAAGTCAGACAGTTTCAAATGTATAGAAAAAAAATGAGGTATTTTGCACAAAGTATTCACGATATGAGTTTTTATCAATGTTTATTTTATTTTGAAATGAATGTCACTAATATACCAACACTTTCTTGGTCACTTATTAAGCTTGATAGTGATATCAATATATTCATAAACGTTTTAATTCAGCTGTTAGCAGATTTACTACTTCAGTATTCTCTTTGTTGTTAGAAAGTAAATTCAGCTCAAAGCCTTAACTTACAGGTTAGCTCTCTCCATATATGCATACATAACAGGCAATGACCAAGGTACAGCCGGTATCATCAATGACCAGATGATGATGTCATTTCCTTCTATTCATGGGCATTAAAGAAAATGTATGATCATTAACAACATTGGCCACAAGTATTGGGCAATGTTGTTTTAAGGCCATTAAAATACAATACTTCGATCATGGGCCGAGCACCGATTACATTATTTATTCTTTTTGGGGTAATATCATCATTTTTGGGCTTGATACTTTAGCACAAGATTGGTCAGAGAGATTGGGTATTGTTGTTATTAGCCAGACAATATCATCAATGCTGAGGAACAGAGGGAAATGACAACATTGTCTGATCACTGATGATACTGCCCAGTTTTGATCATTGTCTGTAACCCACACACACACACATATATGTGGCTGAAAATTATTAAGTTCTATTAAGAAATGATAATGCATATTTTTATGGCAGGGTCCTTAGTATGCTTAGGTTTAGTTAGATAAAGTTTATACACAGTTACTTAAAGAATCCAAATAAATTGTTGATGGCCACATATATATAAAGTGCTAAAATTCTGGGTATCTACATTGCCAATGCATGTGAAATAAACAAAGTTTAATACTTAGTTCCTTTGTGTATGACATACCTAAATCTACTTGAAATTTTTACATTAACAATATTTTTAATTTTCAAAAATTACCTGTGGTGTAGCTTCCAGAGTCACTAGCAGGACTACCCATTTTTTCAGGTTCCAGAGACTGATCAAAACCAAAGTCTGTGACAAATAAACCATTCATTGATGCTTCATGATGTTAAACATAAATCAACTGCAAATGAGTCCACATTAAGCAAGAAAAGTAAGCTTAGAAAAAGTGATTTTCAAAGGAAATAATTTCTTAATATTTCTTTCTCTTTGGTGTTTGTAATTGAATACTTCAATATCTCTCAATGTATTCCAGAATGAGGAAAGTTTAAATGTGCACATTATCTAATAATGATTCAAACTGCAAATATTTCCTGACATTGATCCTCTCCTACATGAAATTTGCATTTATTACTTTGTTTAGCTTTGCGAGAATATTTGAAACATACAAACCAGAATGACATACAAAACAGCAGTAACATACCAAAACTAGTGCACAAAAAAATAAATTAAAAAATTTATCATCCTGATTTATGTATATATTGTTTAGATATTGAATCTTGACAGAGAAAGGGGATGTCACATGTAATATTATATATATATATATACATACCTCTACATAAGCAGATAGCATTTGCACACTTATAATTGATCACTTGCATAATATAAAAATGATGGTGAAAATAAGCACACTTTTAATACTGGATGCTTCAGATTACATCATAATTCATCATCAGTAATTAAGTACAGAAAAAAAAGACAAATCATTACATTTCTGAGGTTTCAAACAAAGCTAAATCAGTTAAGAAACAAGATTAACTACTATTGAAAACAAATTGAAGAAAAAGAAGTTGGTTATAACTTACACAACAAAGACAAATAATTCAAGTGATTAACAGTAAAATAATTATATTAAACCAATAAAAATATGTTAAGTGTTTAGAATACTAAGCTGATGAAATTGTTTGGATTGATTACTGACCAGTATCTTTGGTCAAGAGTTTCATGTTTGACTTAAAAATTTTGAAGTGGTCAAAAGTTGTGGCCAACCAGCTTTTAGTATTGCTTGAAAAGATGGCTTTTCAGTCACTGCCTATGCACCTGTTCATTGATGTTATTGGTCAGTATAAAAATCATTCTTGTATGTAAACAGAATGATTACGAATATCTGTAAGCTATGTTGAGGATAGTGAACGTCAACACATTTATTTTGGTTTTTAACCCTAGAATATCTCACAGTTCCAAGCTTGCACATGGTAATTTAGTGTAATTTTGTGTAGAGGCTAAAGTGTGTCACATAGTCCTAAAATTAGTTATGAATATCCAAACTCCATCAGCTTTTTAAATACATTTTCAATAAACTATTTACAAACCAAATTGTTTTTGGGTCAATGACTTTGTTTGTTACAGGTTACCTAATAATATATGACTTACACAAAACATTAAACAAAAGTATTGTGAATATTAAAATTAATCCTGCTAGTCACACAGTGTTTCCCATGTATTTTAGACAGAATATGAGTGACTTCACCCAAATTTTGGTAAGTTCTTTACACCAACTCTTGCAATAGACAAAAACATAAAATTACTCAATATGATGTGATATGTGGACCCTGCTTGTAGTTAATGGTACGAAAATAAACAAGTAATTGAAGGGATAAGTCATACTTTCTGGTTTCTAAGATATGAAACATATAACTTTATCGAGCACTTAGGAAAAGTTGTCATGAAATCTGAAGTTTAGAAAAGCTGTGAGAATTTTCTCTAAAGTTTCTCTTTAATAGTTTTACTGTAAGATAATCAGTATTCTCTAATTCATGATTATCAATATACATCTTCATCGCAATCTCGTA